CATGCCTGTAATCCCAGCTACTCAGGAGGCTGAGGCAGGAGAATTGCCTGAACCCAGGAGGCGGAGGTTGCGGTGAGCCGAGATCGTGCCATTGCACTCCAGCCTGGGTAACGAGAGCAAAACTCCGTCTCAAAAAAATAAATAAATAAAATAAATAAATAAATAAATAAATAAAAATGTTATTGATGCTGTGGTGGTAAGTAGTCAGTTATTTCCAAGGATGAGGAGAGAAGGAAGTCAAGAAATGATGCTTGAGGTGACTCAGCACTGTTTAATATTAGCCCAAAGGGTCAGGTTGGGGAATAAGGTAGGGAGGACCAGGGACTGGCACTCCAAGGTAAGAGAAAGCTTGGGCATAGGTTTAAAAATATGAAAGGATATGGGGGATGGACTGGAGGTTCAAGACTAGCCATAGGAAATGAGTTGGGAAAAAGTGAACACCCAAGAAAGGTAGTAACAGTGGGAACAGATAAGAAGCATAACAGAAATGTGGGGAAAGAAGAAATGGGCCATAGAGCTCAGGACTGTCAACAGGAGAAGCAGGTCTGGAGGGACAGAAAGAGGAGTCCAGCGCCGGACATGTTGATCTTGAAGAACATAGTGGTGATTTAGGTGGGACACTTCCACTGGACTTCTGAATATACAGGTCCTCTATCTTAGTGGGGAGGGGATTGGGGGCTGTCAGCATGGAGTGGTACTAAAGGCCATGGAGGTTGGTGAGTTCACCCAAGGAGCTGAAAGGAAAGTTTCCAGTGGCAAAACCTGGTCTCTAATAAAAATACGAAAATTAGCTGAGCCTGGTGCTGCACACCTGTAATTTCAACTATTCAGGAGGCTGAGGCAGGAGAATCACTTGAACCCGGGAGGTGGAGGTTGCAGTGAGCCGAGATCACAGCACTGCACTCCAGCCTGGGCAACAGAGTTAGACTCCAGCTCAAAAAAATAGAAAGAAAGAAAAAGGAAAGGTTCCAGGATAGAACCCTGAATTCATATTCCAATTAAAGATCAGTAGAGCTTATGGAAGGATCTGAGAGGGAATGTCCAGACAGATACAAAGAAAACATGGAGAACTGGTGCTCGTGAAAGAGTAGTGCTTTGTAAATTGTCAGACACTGTACAAATACAAATTTATTTGCTATAATTTTTTTTTTTTTTTTTTTTTTAATTAAAGTTTTTTTTTTTTTTTTTTTTTTTTTTTTTTTTTTTTTTTTTTTTTTTTTTTTTTTTTTTTTTTTGAGACAGAGTCTCACTCTGTCACCCAGGCTGGAGTGCAGTGACATGATCTTGGCTTACTATATCCTCCATCTCCCGGGTTCCTCCTGCCTCAGCCTCCTGAGTAGGTGGGATTACAGGCATGTGGCACCATGCCTGGTTAATTTTTGTGTTTTCTTTTTCTTTGTTTGTTTTTAGGTGTTTGTTTTTTGAGACAGAGTCTCGCTCTGTCACCCAGGCTCTGGAGTGCAATGGCATGATCTTGGCTCACTGCAACCTCTTCCTCCCAGGTTCAAGCAGTTCTCCTGTCTCAGCCTCCCAAGTAGCTGGGACTACAGGCGTCCACCACCACGCTTGGCTAATTTTTGTATATATATATATTCTTTTAGTAGAGGCAAGGTTTCATCATATTGGTCAGGCTGGTCTCAAACTCCTGACCTCAGGTGATCCTACTGCCATGGCCTCCCAAAGTGCTGGGATTACAGGCATGAGCCACTGCACCTGGCCAATTTTTGTATTTTTAGTAGAGATGGGGTTTCACCATGTTGGCCAGGCTGGTCTCAAACTCCTGGCCTCAAACAATCTGCCTGCCCCAGCCTCCCAAAGTGCTGGGATTACAGGCGTGAGCCACTGCACCCAGCTTATTTGCTATAAATAAATGGATCCCTTGGCCTAAAATCTTAGGGCTTCACAAAGTCCCCAGACATAAGGCACTAGATAATTTGAGAGAATATGATAATGTTGTAAATCAGTAACAAATACTTTAGATATGAATTCTGTAAAGGAATTAAAAAAAATTGGGTCATTTAAATGACAATGTGACAAATGTGATTAGTGTCACTAGTGTCTGATGCAAAAAGTTTGTTGACTACTTTTAAGGGAGGAAGGCTGTTAATGTTATGTTTAGAAATTGATTCCAAGGATGTCAACAGGAATGGAGTCATTTCAAAGTGTTTTGAATAATGGGCTATTGGTGAATTCCCTTTCATGAGAGGAATTGTCAGGGACTCCACTTGGCTGGGGTAGTTTTTGTAACTTTGTCTTGGAGTGCAGAATGGCAGTTGGAACCGTACTAAAGAGTTTGTTAATAAAATCTCTATGTGGCTTTTCCATTTCCACTAAAAATTCCTTCCATTGTGAATCCTGAAAATAGAACAAAAATTGCCTAACCGGGTTTGGCAATATCTCTAGTTATTTCCAGCCTGAAAAATAGACTTGTCTTTAGCATAGGCTAATTTTAATAGTGAATATGCTGTTTTAAAAAAATCAAATTTGATCTTTTGTTGGGGTCCATTTCCTTTTTCATTTCCTGTAATATTTTAACAATGAGAAACTGATTCTAACAATCCCATTTTTTTTTTAAATGATTTAAACTTAAAACAGGCTGTAGAGACTCTAGCAGACAGGACAATTTTCTTACAAATAAAATCTTCAGAACAACTCAGAAAAGAAATGCCAACAGCCTTTTGTCTCAGCCAGTTGATTTGTTATCATTGTAATTTTTTAAAATTTAAGAGCCAAACTTAATTTTTTTCCCTTCTAACTACCTAGTTATGTTTCTGTTTAGAGATGGGATTTTGACCTGAGTGTTCTCTCTCTAGTTTGACATTGCTGTGAAAGGCCATTACAGGGCTGGATAAGGGAAAGTTTGGCCTGCAGAGAAGAATGCAGATATTTAGGGTTTTTTCTCTTCTGCTGTTTCTAGTCAGCATTGTCAATATTTTCTTTTGTCCAGCTGAAATTCACATGGGGCACATGAAAAAATTCTGTTAGATCAGTGGAATATCTTTAGGTCCTATGGTGTACATGTTTTTAGGATTCTGCTGAAGAATCCATCCCACTAGACAAGTTACCACTGGATTGTGCCAAAATAACGCCAGTCTGTGACAACAAATGTAATTGATGCAAGCTTATATCGAGAAGAATGGTATGCCCTGCACTGGGTCTTGTGGAGAGGAGTGTGGTGTACCCCAAACTGGGCCTTGGAAGCCAGTGTCTTTGGTCAGGACACCACTGATCACATTCACTCAGCTACCATGCAGAAGAACCTGTATCTTGGCTCTTTGTTTCTTCTTTTCCATTATATGCTGTTAATTCATAACCTCTCCTAAGCTTGAAAATCATTGGAAGAAAAACCCAGTAGGTGATGAATCTGCCATCTTCAGTGCTGCAGGCTGATTATTTTAATTTCCATATGCTTGTATTGATTATCTCCAATTGGAGACTGTTACACCTATCATTTATAGTAAGTGTGAGTTATTTGGGTTTAGTTAGTGTGCTCTGTACCTGTGCTCATGCATTTTATAACACTATTTAGTCTCAGTTCTTAGTTTGAAATAAGTGAGAGTCAACTCTTTATTTTGGATGAACACAGAATTGGACAGCTTTGCTTTCTTAGCTTCCCATAGCTGGTACCATCAGTATGCAGACATATTGGGATGGCTTTTCAACATAGTATAATAAACTCAATTTTATAAATACAGTGTGAAAAATGAATTAACCTTTTCTGAAGTCAAGCAGTAGCTTGGGTGAATATGGGTGAGGATTCTGATTCATAGTTTCTTTTACTGTTTACTCTCCAATGGAAGATCATACAAGTTTTGGCATCTTGTTCATGGACTAACCACGAGCATTCTGTCTGACTCACATCGTTCTATATTTTCTGTGCTTAGCCTAACTTGAGTCTTCTTATCATTCACTAGGTGATGAAGGTGGAGAATCAGAACTTCTTGGAGAGGATCTTCCACTTGAACCTTCTGTCACCAAAGCAGAAAGGAGTCACTTGATAGTATGGCAAGTGATGTATGGCAGTGAGTGAGTCCATAGGAAACAGGTGGAGATGGGGAAGCCATCTCTTCTGCATGGTTTATTTTTCCTTTATTTAATGCTCTTTTTGTGAGATAAGTTTCACCACATAATGTGTGAGCATTTTTTCCTGTTAACTTTATATTACAAAATCTGTTCTACCATAACAATACAGAGGAACTAGCTGTTATACTGCACCAGTGTTATAGGTAACTTCAGTATATTATGAACCAATCAAAGAATGTTTACGTCCTGCAAACTGGTGAATTATAGAAAGCAATCCAGATGTGGTTTACTCTGCCACAGTCTAATGTCATTCATTTCATTTGATGGGGTCACTTTTTAGCTGTCACTAATAATGGAATTAATGGGAAACACTTGATAAATGAAACTGTACCCTTAAATACAATAGCTGAGTTTTCCCCAGTGTATTGTAAAATTGACACATACTAATATGAGATGGATTATCAGGATTTATCTAAATGTCCCAAGAGGGCTAAAAGCTAACTGTAAATTATTCTAACTTTCACTTTAAAATCTGACAAATCTTGTTTATATGGCATATAAAACTTTGTTTTCATCAGATTTTTGGGGGGTTTTATATTAAAGAAATTAAGACTACACTATTTAAATAAACGTTTCCTGTTTCTGACTTATTAGATCTCTAAAGTTTATGAGGCCTACTTCTCTGAATATTCTGATGGTTTTTTTTTTTTTTTTTTTTTTTGAGACCAGTCTCATTTTCATACTGACATGTCTGAAAGGTTTATTATTTATAAAGCTTAGAATGTACTCTGGGAAGCTTAGAAGATACTTCAGCACTGGGAGGATTTTTTAAAGGAAATGTGTTTTGTGTATTTCTTGTACCAGAGAATGGTGACGTTGATTGAATTTTTTCCATGTAAAAAATGTACCTGTTTGCCAAATGTTTCTAGATTGCTTTTACCTGTTGTAAAGTAAAACTGTAGTGGGGATGGAGTCTGGCCTAAGTACGGAATGAGGGATTTAATTAGAAAAGTTACTTTCTTTTGTTCTGTATCAAACTGCAGAACAGCTGTATACTTGGTATTTTGTATGTGAATAACATTTTAGCTTTTGTGCCCTTTTGAGCTTAAAGGGTTATCTTCAGAGGGGAAACCGATGAAGGAGAAGAAGACAGAGCTAAGATACCATAAAGTAAAGGTTGACATTACGTATTTTCATTCACTATGTCCATTAAAAAAAAAAATAGATTATTTTGGGCGTGATGACTCACGCCTGTAATCTCAACACTTTGGGAGGCTGAGGCGGATGGATTGCTTGAGTCCAGGAATTCAAGACCAGCCTGGGAAACATGGTGAAACCCTGTCTCTACAAAAAAAACCCACAAAATAAATTAGCCAATGTGGTAGTGCATGCCTGTAGTCTCAGCTGCATGGGAGGTTGAGATGGGAGGATCACCTGGGCCCAGGAGGTGGAGGTTGCAGTGAGCCTTGATAACACCACTGCAGTCTAGCCTGGGTGACAGAGCAAGACCTTGTCCCAAAACAGACAGACAAGCAAAAAATAGATTAAAGTCCGGATTTAACTGATTTTCTTGCTTAATAAGTTTTTTAAAACCATGATGCTGCAATTTTTCTCCCTCTCAAGCGTCTTGACAATATGTGATTTACCCCTTTTTATCTATTACTCTAAGCAAAGCTAAATACAATTTTTTTTTGTTTTTTTTGAGACGGAGTCTAGCTCTGTTGCCTAGGCTGGAGTGCAATGGCAAGATCTCAGCTCACTGCAACCTCTGCTCCCTGGGTTCAGGCAGTTCTCCTGCCTCAGCCTCCCGAGTAGCTGGGACTACAGACGCGTGCCACCACACCCAACTAATTTTTGTAGAGACCAGGTTTCACCATGTTGGCCAGGCTGGTCTCAAACTCCTGACCTCAGATGATCCCCGCTCCTTGGCCTCCCAAAGTGTTAGGATTACAGGCGTGAGCCACTGCACTCAGTTGAAGCAAAGCTAACTGTAATTTTATGTACTGAATTAACAGTATAAACCTATAGGATAAAGGCTCCCTAATCATCAGAAAGACTACTGGAAAGGAAAGAAAGCAAATGGAGATGTCAAATTGTCTAAGCATTCTTAAGTGATTTTTCTGAACTTTTATACAAAGATGTTTGTAAAAAGTACACCAGTGGCTTTTACACATATACATGATTAGGCTAGATTGTGAAGTATATGTCATTTCATGAGTCAGAGGAGACGTTTGGATCCATTGGGCCCATGTGTGTCTATAAGCACATTGTGTACACAATAAAATTGTAGCCACTCATGTATTAAAAGAAAACTGTTTTGGTAAAAAGCTGTATTAAAAGAATAATTTTTTTGCTTGAGCTACTTAGTCACTTTTTTTCAGGGCACCAAAACTTAGGCTAGTTTTTCATAGCTTGTTTGCTATGTTTTTATTTCATTTTAAATCTGAGCCATTTTTGGCAATATCTTTTAAAAAATCATTTTGAAACATTTATTGGAAATGTATAGATTCACAAGAAAGAGACACCAAAGTGTTTGGGAATTTGAATCCCAAGAAGTAAACATCCCAGAGTCAGATCCCATTTGCTGTTGTTCAGCCATGTTTGTATGACTGAATGTAATTTAGGAAATCAGGAGTTACAGATGAAAAATACAAACATGTAACAATGGTTGTAATTGCTTTTTTTGAACTTACTGGCTTTAACTTAAGTAATATAGGTGTGTAGTTATTTTATCTAAAGATGTCAGATTATCTGTGGCCCTGTTAATTAACTGCAGGGATCAGAGAGAGGACAAAAATGCCTGTATAATTTCTTTTAAAGGCTTGTCCTTATGTTTGTAATTTCGGTTAAATATTTTCTACAGATTGCTTCACTTCCCCTTTCCCTCAAAAGCAAGTTTATATTCTTGTAATGTTTACTTTGGTCAACATGGTAACTTTTGGAAGAAAATGCCAAAATGTAAGCTTCTCACAAGCAGCAAAGGGGTGTAACTGCCGTAGCCACCACATCCAGGGCAGAGAAGAGGCCTGTGTACTTCGGGTTGATCTCACCGTACAAAAAAAGTGGAAGAAATAAGGGATACTTGAGGGTTTCTCATTTTATCATACCTGGGTCATGTACAAGGTTGAACCATATGAAATTGCCAATGTTCAACCATTACTGATCTACAAAAATGACAGTATCATATGCCTCAACCTAATACTTACTATTAAATGCAGGTTAAAATCTCTGTGAGGCAAAGGGATAATATTCTCTAGGAACTCACTTTTGAGAGTATTTTTCTCTAACTCCTGTGGATCTAAATTTTAAAAATAGGAAGGAATCACTTAACAGCTGCAGCTTGTGGAGAGTATAAAACATTTTGAGCACAATGTCAGCACATAAACTTTTCAGATTGTGTTTGCACAGAAAGGGTTAAAATCAATTCTTTCACTTACTGCATTGTTCATTTCTTATAAAGGTCTTCCTACATTTGAGACTAGACCCTTTAACATAGGCTGCCTTAGTAACAAATAAAACAGATGTCTCATAATATTAACTGTCCTAAAGAACATGTGTCTTGCAAATGCCATGGAACAGAATATTTATTTCCTTGTGAGTATTATGACCATTACCAAAGGACTGAACCAGATTTAGGGCTCTTCTCAATTGATCATGTTCAGAAAGGGACTTATTTGTAACATGAGAAACGTAGAAGAGAAAATGAAATATGGAAATCATAAATGCTTTTCTAACAGGGTTATGCTATTCTGTAACACTAAATGTTTGTCTTTTCTCTTGAAAGGTTGTTTTATTAATTTTGTCATACACTTCTCAATATTTGAATATATCTTAACCATTTTATGTTCCAAATTCGTTTTTTGTCCGAGACATTCTATCAGAATTTTACTTGCCTCTATAATCTGAAAAATGGGTTCTATAATGTCCCACTTGCTGTCTCTTAGAGACTGAGCTTCATTTCTATGAGCAAAAAGCTCATTTCGCAATGTAGTTATTTCAGTATTTATTTCTATGATGGAATCCCTGGGGTTCGGAATGTAACTTTGTACATGAAATATATATAAATATGTATATGAAACATGTATGAGGCCTAGCGTGTTTTGTTTTGTTTTAAACCGTTCCTGGGGATCTGAACTTGGTTTTTATTTGCAAGTCTAATAATCTTCCCCATCACACATGTCATTTCTGAGAGTCAGGACTGTTGCCATTGGCACTGGCTGAAGGTGAGCCCTGGGGAATACTCACACTGGTCAGGTTGGCTCATGTGTTCAGATGAGATGTGAGAACAGAGCTTGAGTCACAGCCCACACATGATACTAAGGCATATACTACTTGCCAGATCATTCAATAATAAGAGGCAGGTTGTAATGTAATTTTAATAATGCAGTGTGCTTATTTGTGATCCAGTTGCTCGGGTGAGACTCTGGAAGGAAGAATGATTATAAAACTGTCATGCAAAAGCACAATGTGATTCCAGATTCAGTGCAGTAATGTTTAGCCTCATCCAGTGTGTTTTGTTTGTGCCTTCAAGAAACGGGAGGTTCTAACATGACAGTAAAAGTCGCGCCAGTTGGCATGTTAATAGGACTGTTCTCTAGATTAAGGCACTGTTCAGTGAGGTTGGATGCCCTAGAACATAATGTATAGCCCGGCTCATTCCTAGTCTTTTTTTTTTTTTTTT